TGAGAGCGACCGTGCCACCATTGCAGATCTACGAAAAGAAGTCCTTCGTCTCACCGCAGAGTTGAATGAGAAACAATCACTCGTGTCCAAACTTTTTGAAGTCGCTGGTGGGCAGCACTCACGGCTGATGTCACTGAGCGCTGCATATTGTGACACTGTCGTGTGGGAGAGATCCGTCAGCTCCGGACCCTCCTGTTCTACACCTAAGCACCCGGTTCCGAATAACGAGCCCGCGGATTCCGAGGAGCCATCCTGCGCCGTGGCCCATGTCCTGAGTCTGGCAAACCGCTATGCAGCCCTCTCCACCGACATCCCGGCCCCCTCAGCAGAATCCCTGGACACTGCAGCGTACTCTACTGCTCGAGGATCCAAGTCCACTGCGAGGAAAACGCTCCTAAAGGAAGCAGTCCTCAGGCGAAAGAGCGGTCCACCAGCCATGTTGACCCCAGTGCAGCAGCCTCAGACTGGGGTAGCGAGCCATCATCACCACCGCTCACCTCCACCGGGTCAGCAGCAGCGTCCAGAGCCAGCCCCTCTCACCGCTCCAGCGTCCCCGAGCACACAGCGTGGGTCGCCTGTAGCTGAGAGTCAGCACCCCCGCTCCTCCTCTCCATGTGTTCAGCGGCGCTCAGGCTCGGGTCCTGCTTCGGGTGAACCCGCTGGTTCCGTCCACCGAGCTCCTTCTCCGAGGCCACTCTTCGCCCCGACCACTCTGATTATTGGAGATTCCATCGTGAGACACGTCCGCTTCTTCAACGCGGTCACTCGCTGTATTCCCGGAGCTACTGTACCAGACCTGCTCATACGTCTCCCTCCTCTGCTTCAGTCCCTGCCTGATACCGTTTCCAAGGTAGTCGTGCATGTGGGAATTAACGACATGAAACTTCAGCAGTCAGAAGTCACTAAGAAACATTTTATGGATCTGTTCCACCTCCTTCAATCCTCCGGACTATCTGTTTTTATTTCTGGTCCAATCCCGACTGTAAACAGAGGTGACTGCCTCTACAGTCGTGTTGTGGCGCTGCATGTGTGGCTTCAGGCTACATGCAGCTCTTTTAACTTTGTCTTTGTGAATAACTTTGCCCTTTTCTGGAAACGTAACGAAGCCTATCGTCCAGACGGATTACACCCAAACAGATACGGTAGCAGCCTGTTGATGGATTACATACGTTATGTTGTTCAGCGTTCCCCGAGGGGGGCGTGACTGTTTACATCTGAGCCCCCTCGGACCCCACCGCACTCCCCCGCCTCCTGCTCACCAGCACCGGGTGAGTACAACGGTGCAAACACTGCTCCCTGTCCGTCTGGCAGTGCATTACCAGTCCAAACACTGAACTGTGCTGACTCCCTTCTGACTCTGGGAGCTAAAGAACAACAAGGGTTTTCACATTTTAGGCCAATTGAGACTGTGTGTGTTCCTCGCACCAGCTCAAAAATGTTTTTAAATTCTAAAAAACGAAATCAAAACAGGACAGCAGTTAGACGGTCCAACTCTGCAAATCTAATTTCTGTTCCCTGTAGAAATCAATCAACCACATTAATCGACTCTGACGTTATTTTTAAACTTGCTATGCTTAATGTCAGATCTCTATGTAACAAATCATTTTTAATTAATAATTTTATCACTTCTTATGATCTTGATTTTATGCTTATGGCTGAAACATGGCTGGACCAAAATACAGGAAATGCAGTTCTAATAGAAGCAACACCACCCAATTTTAAATTCGAATCCGAAATACGAGAAAACAAAAGGGGGGGAGGCATAGCTGCAGTTTTTAGAGAGCACTTTGTCTCCCATAGAATGCCCCTTGGAAATTTTTCATCGTTTGAGTATATTTCTTTTAAAATGGAACAAAAGCAATCTTCTACTCTTTTCATTGTCCTGTACAGGCCACCACAGTCATGTTGCGATTTTATTGACCATTTTACTGAACTACTTTCATTCGTGTGCACAGATTTTGATAGTTTAGTTATTACAGGTGATTTTAATGTACATGTTGATAATGTTGATGACAGAAATGCAAAGGAGCTGGCTTCTGTATTTGAGACCTTTGGTTTCATTCAGCACGTGAGTGGCCCCACCCACAGCAGGGGGCACACTCTTGACCTGCTAATTACAAAGGGGGTTAATGTATCAAATGTTAATGTAGTTGATGTTGCTTTGTCAGATCATTTCTGTGTATTTTTTGACATGTGTTTTGCTAGCAAACCACCAGCTGAATTTACAACTGTTAGAAGAAGACACATACATGAAAACACAAGTGAACTGTTCATGGGAATGCTAAATTTTGAGAAAACTCCATGCTCTACTGTTGATGAATTGTATAACTCTGTCACCACCAGTGTTCTGACTGTTCTGGACGCCATTGCTCCTGTGACGGTTAAAATAGTTACCAGTAAGAAAAAGGCCCCATGGACTAAGGCAGACTCGGTTAGGGCACAGAAGCAAGAGTGCCGGAGGGCCGAACGGAAGTGGCGAAAGTCCAATTTCCAGGGCGATTATGAAATCTTTAAAGATGAGTTGGGTGAATTTAACCGGGTTCTACGTAGAACAAGAGAAATGTATTTTTCTGACATTATTGGAGGTTGCAGTAATAATTTTCGTGTTATGTTTTCAACAGTTGGTAGATTAACGAACCCCCCTGTAAAGTTGCCCCTAGAATTTTCCTCTAAATCTAGGTGTAATGAGTTCGCACAGTTTTTCGATGACAAAGTACAAGGAATCAAAAACACTATCACCTCCACAGCACGTATAACAATGCAACAGCCAGAGAAGCTTTCTGAGCTAACTCACTTTGCACCTGTGGATACTGAAACTGTCAAAAAGATAATCATGAGTCTGAGCTCCTCCACATGTAGCCTGGATATATTGCCCTCTAAATTTCTGAAGTCCGTCCTGAGCAGTTTGTTACCTTCACTGACACAAATAGTAAACATGTCTCTGTCGTCAGGAACATTTCCTATGGCCCTAAAAAAACAGCAGTCATAAGACCTCTCCTAAAAAAGAGCAGTCTGGATCCTGCGGGACTTCAAAATTATCGCCCCATATCGAATCTGCCATTTATTGGAAAAATTCTTGAAAAAGTGGCCTCCCAACAACTTACTGAATTTTTAACAATGAATAATTCTTTTGATATGTTCCAGTCTGGGTTTAGACCCCACCACAGCACTGAGACCGCTCTAGTGAAGGTAACAAACGACATTCGACTTCACACTGATGCAGGTAAAGTCACAGTTTTGGTCATGTTAGATCTTAGTGCCGCGTTCGACACTGTCGACCATGAGATCCTCATGCAGAGACTGGAGGACTGGGCTGGTGTCACTGGCACAGCCCTAGACTGGTTTAGGTCTTACCTGGAGGATAGGAAGTACTCTGTGGAGATTGGAGACTGCGTCTCAGATGATGTGGCCCTGACCTGTGGTGTACCACAGGGGTCGATCCTGGGACCTCTCCTATTTAATCTCTACATGCTGCCGTTAGGTCAGTTAATACAAAGAAACAAAGTGTCCTACCACAATTACGCTGACGACACTCAGATCTATGTCTCACTGACTGCAGGAGAACATGGACCACTGGATTTGCTCCTTCACTGTATCCAACAGATCAGTGACTGGATGCAAAATAATTTCCTCCAGCTAAATACAGACAAAACCGAAATCATTGTCTTTGGTCCCCAGAAACAAAGAGAGGGCGCCATTTGTCAACTTCAGTCTCTCTCCCTACTTCCTTCAGACAAGGTCAGAAATTTGGGGGTAATACTGGACTCAGACCTAAATTTCAATAGCCACATAAAATCAATAACATCAACAGCTTTTTACCATCTGAAGAACATTGCCAAAGTTAGAAATATAGTGTCCAGGGCAGACTTGGAGATTCTTGTCCATGCATTTGTCTCCAGCAGGCTAGACTACTGCAATGGCCTGCTTACAGGTCTGTCCAAACAGACCTGTAAGCAGCTGCAGTACATCCAAAATGCAGCAGCTAGAGTCCTGACAGGAACCAGGAAGTATGACCATATTAGTCCGGTCCTCAGGTCTCTGCACTGGCTTCCTGTGGCTCAAAGAATAGATTTTAAAACGGCTCTGCTTGTGTACAAGTCTCTCCATGGCCTTGCACCAGAATACATTAGTGACATGTTGGTGTCATATGAACCAGCCCGGACTCTGAGGAGCACAGGGACTGGCCTCCTGCTGGTGCCCAGAGTGAGAACCAAACATGGGGAGGCTGCGTTTCAGATCCATGCAGCTAAGATCTGGAACAATCTCCCTGAAAATGTGAGGGAGGCGTCTACTCTGTCAATGTTCAAATCCAGGTTAAAGACTGTTCTGTTTGCCTGTGCATATAACTGAAGGATTTTATCTCCATTTTTAATGCACTGCTGTCATTTATTTATTTAAATTTCTTGTGTAATTTTGAAAGTTTTAATGGTTTTATTCTTTTGTGTGATTTTAATGTTTTAATTGTGTTTTAATCTTTTGTGTGATTTTAATGTTTTAATTGTGATTCTGGTGTTTGTTTTATGTGATGATTTGTGATGTGGACTGTGAAGCGCTTTGTGTTGCCATGTGTATGAAAGGCGCTCTACAAATAAACTTTGATTGATTGATTGACTAACAAGAATGAAATAGGTTCCAGTGGCAGTCTCTCTCAGTCTATGTTACTTCTTGCTTTGATTGAAAGTCCAGTTGAGAAACAAATCCTCAATCCAATCATCCATTTTCCAGCAAAAGAAATAGCACCGACAGGACTGATTGTTGGTTAGCAAAATATTTACAGTCTGTGTTAGCAACTCGGGTATGAACTTTGTGCTCCATATTACCCCCTAGTGGTGAGGCACAGATACTGCCTGCCTCACGCCACGCTTTTACTTGTGTTTTCTTCTCCGATCAAAAGACAAATAAATATAAATAGTACACACATACGTACAATACATTACTAAACACTATGACAAGTTTAACAAATGTTTTCATAACAGGATGATGAAACAAACTGCGATATATCAACAGCACGAGCTGAGAGCACTCACACAGTCCACTGTGAGGGAGCGGTCTGAGGGGAGGCACAGCCCACTGTGAGGGAGGGGTCTGAGGGAGGCACAGCCCACTGTGAGGGAGGGGTCTGAGGGAGGCACAGCCCACTGTGAGGGAGGGGTCTGAGGGAGGCACAGTCCACTGTGAGGGAGGGGTCTGAGGGAGGCACAGCCCACTGTGAGGGAGGGGTCTGAGGGAGGCACAGCCCACTGTGAGGGAGGGGTCTGAGGGAGGCACAGCCCACTGTGAGGGAGGGGTCTGAGGGAGGCACAGCCCACTGTGAGGGAGGGGTCTGAGGGAGGCACAGTCCACTGTGAGGGAGGGGTCTGAGGCACAGTCCACTGTGAGGGAGGGGTCTGAGGGGAGGCACAGTCCACTGTGAGGGAGAGGTCTGAGGCACAGTCCACTGTGAGGGAGGGGTCTGAGGGGAGGCACAGTCCACTGTGAGGGAGAGGTCTGAGGGAGGCACAGCCCACTGTGAGGGAGGGGTCTGAGGGAGGCACAGCCCACTGTGAGGGAGCGGTCTGAGGGAGGCACAGCCCACTGTGAGGGAGGGGTCTGAGGGAGGCACAGCCCACTGTGAGGGAGGGGTCTGAGGGAGGCACAGCCCACTGTGAGGGAGGGGTCTGAGGGAGGCACAGCCCACTGTGAGGGAGCGGTCTGAGGGAGGCACAGCCCACTGTGAGGGAGGGGTCTGAGGGAGGCACAGCCCACTGTGAGGGAGGGGTCTGAGGCACAGTCCACTGTGAGGGAGGGGTCTGAGGGAGGCACAGCCCACTGTGAGGGAGGGGTCTGAGGGAGGCACAGTCCACTGTGAGGGAGGGGTCTGAGGGAGGCACAGTCCACTGTGAGGGAGGGGTCTGAGGCACAGTCCACTGTGAGGGAGGGGTCTGAGGGGAGGCAGGAGCGCTGCCTCTCCTTGTGACTTTGAATAGCAAAAATAGGATTTCAGCGATTTTGACTTCAGAAATGATCAAAACTGGTCAAACCCATGCCGAAAATACATTAAAAGCATAGGACAGTGGAAAACAATTATATATTTCAACTAAAATAATAATTATTTTTTCAATGAAGGCAGGAGAGGCTCTGCCTCCCCTGACTGTACATCACTGCTCAGTCTACATGTAGACCCAGGCCTCTCTAGTCTCAGTCTACATGTAGACCCAGGCCTCTCTAGTCTCAGTCTACATGTAGACCCAGGCCTCTCTAGTCTCAGTCTACATGTAGACCCAGACCTCTCCTGTCTCAGTATACATGCAGACCTCTCTTGTCTCAGTATACATGCAGACCTCTCTTGTCTCAGTATACATGCAGACCTCTCTGTCTCAGTATACATGCAGACCTCTCCTGTCTCAGTATACATGCAGACCTCTCTGTCTCAGTATACATGCAGACCTCTCTTGTCTCAGTATACATGCAGACCTCTCTAGTCTCAGTATACATGCAGACCTCTCTTGTCTCAGTATACATGCAGACCTCTCTGTCTCAGTATACATGCAGACCTCTCTGTCTCAGTATACATGCAGACCTCTCTAGTCTCAGTATACATGCAGACCTCTCTGTCTCAGTATACATGCAGACCTCTCTTGTCTCAGTATACATGCAGACCTCTCTGTCTCAGTATACATGCAGACCTCTCTTGTCTCAGTATACATGCAGACCTCTCTGTCTCAGTATACATGCAGACCTCTCTTGTCTCAGTATACATGCAGACCTCTCTTGTCTCAGTATACATACAGACCTCTCTGTCTCAGTATACATGCAGACCTCTCTGTCTCAGTATACATGCAGACCACTCTTGTCTCAGTATACATGCAGACCTCTCTGTCTCAGTATACATACAGACCTCTCTAGTCTCAGTATACATGCAGACCTCTCCTGTCTCAGTATACATGCAGACCCAAACCTCTCTAGTCCCAGTATACCTCCAGGGGGACTTTACGTACTGAATTAGGCCTACAAAATGAGCTCACTCTAGTCCCACCTGGAGGAGAGCCGTGCGACGGATGGCGAGGTGGGACGGCGAGGATTATGGGATGTTCCGCTCTGCCTGTCTATCATGAAGGACCCTGACAATAGGCCCCTTTGCAGACGCTGTTGTTCTCTATTGTGAGGGGATAAGGGTCTTAAAGGGGATAAGCTGATTAGTAATGTGATACACTAGCTTTGGGAACACAAGGGGAGCTGGGGGAAAGGTTACGTGAGGCTGCGCTACTGTGATGTAGGTTTGAGAAATACATATGGTAAGTGTCAAACTCCTACCTTTATCTCAGGTGTGTCAATGTGGTCGGGGCCGCCAACTGCAAATGAAAGTCAGATCCTGTCTGACCTCTGAAGCTAGGCAGGGCAGGACCTGGTTAGTGCTGTGATGGGAGACCGGCAGGAACACCAGGTGCCACAGTAGGACGGCTCTAAAATGTCAGATAAAAAAACTGATTTGACTGAAAAGCGGTATTAAAGTTTGGATATAATTTTCTTGTAGGTTTGGATTCAACCGAGTTTGGTCTGACCACAAAATTGTACACATTTATTTTCGTACTAAGCTCTGGATTTTCTCCATTGAGCTCCGTTAACAGGTGGGAAGGGTTAAGTCCTTTTTCAGATGTGATTTTGATCTGAGTTTACCGTGACGTTTGTAATGCACCCGAGTGAGTTGCTAGCTAGGTTTAGTAAGTAAGTAATCTTTATTTATATACCGCCTTTTCACTGCAGATCTGAGTCTCAAAGCGGTTTACAATTGTTAATTTTTGGGCATTTGTCTCTCACTCCACACAGAGATGGGAGCGGGGCCAGTACAGGAGGCACATGCCAGAACTATTGTACATATTTTTAGTGGTAGGGGAAACCGGAGTACCCGGAGGAAACCTACGCAGACACGGGGAGAACATGCAAACTCCACTCAGAAAGGCCCTGGTCCGACCGGGATTCGAACCCAGGACCTTCTTGCTGAGAGGCGAGAGTGCTATCCACTCAGCCACCATGCCGCCCAGTTTAGCATTTAGCCTAGCTTTAGCCAGCTCTTTTGCCGCTAACGGAGCCCGTGGGGAGTAGAGCCACAGCATCTTTGCAGCAATGACAATAGCTAAACATTCCTCTTACTCCGGCTTCAATTTCTTGGAGCCAAACCAGAACGGTTAGCTTTACTATCGCATTGTCCGCCATGGCCAAACTACAACCAGCAAATTTGGCCCAAACTCTCGACGTCCCCGACACAGACACCTACCTACAACACCCGCCTCTCCCGCTCCCTGATTGGTCGGATGGGATAGAACCGATTTAACTGCAGCCACTGGGATCCGACCCAGATGTTCATGTAGGAGGGTTAAGGCCAGGCTAGATTCAACCACAACTGGGTCAAATTTGGGATGTATTGGAAAATTGATAGTTAAATTTGTATATAAAAAAATAACTATAAATTCCAATTACATTTGAATTAACAAAATGGTTGTTTTCCTGAGATAATAGGCTTTAAAATGAAGTACAACATGTCATTGAAGCCCATTACCATCAATGCTGCAAGTTACTGTGACAAAGATAGTTGAAAGTCATTTCAGGGGCCACTAAAAATGCTCTTGACTCAGCTTTGGGCCTGAGTTTGACATGCCTAGGTTAGGGTTATACCTTTGGTCCGTCATTTCTTTTGGATATTAAATTGTTCTTGTCTCTATGATATTATTATTGTTTTAATGGTAATAATAATACTACTAATAATAATACGCTTTTATTTAACTTTTCATTACATGGCAATTTCATTTTAAAATGCTGCACGTTGGCTCCTCACTTTATCAAAAACCTTCCTCTTCCAAACACTGAAGCCTGTGATTATTGGGTGAGATTTTGAATAAGGCAAAGTACAGTATCAAATGCCAAACGGTTCTCTCTCTCCCACTCTCTCTCCCACCCTCTCTCCCTCTCCACTCCCTCTCCACTCCTGGCCTGAGTGTTTCTGGAATCATTTCACCTCACCGGGGTTTTTGCCCAGAGCTGCTGGGCTGTTTGACACAGTGGGATGGGGATGTTTTTGACAGTATGTGAGTAAATGTAACTCCTCTGGGCACGTCCGACAGCCTGTTTAAAACATGGGCTCTACGGGTCATTTCAGCAATCCACCATTTCACCCCATGTCAACTCATGGTGACTCATGTCATCTGTGGACAGGCTGGAGGAGAGGAACGTTTCCAAAATGGGCTCCAATCAATCAATAATAAAACTGCTTTAAAGCAATGATATTTTGTACAAAACACTGTAAGTAACTTTGCCCCTTCCTGTCTCACTCCTGTAATAGTGTGATGCCATTACACACAACATAAACATAAACCCAAAATTAGGTTTTACACTTGTATGGCTGTGTTTGCAGCCACTAATTTTCAGATTTGAAAAAACAAAAACAATTTCAAGTCCTTCCTCTGGTGATAGCACAGGGAGTTATAGGCAGAAAGCATGTTTACCCTTCATACTTGATAGTTTTGTCATATATTTTCTACTAAAGATATTTGTTCATATTTAAAATGATGAGAAAAATTTCAAACACATTTCCATGTCATGTCATTCAACATGTATAATGCTGTGTATCGGTGTTGTTTTGCTCTTTCAGCCCTTTATGAGAAAACCTGTAGCTTGTATTTAAGTGCGGTTTATGTGGACAAAATGTACTTTCTTAAGATTTTCTGGAGGAGAATAGTTGGGCCAATGACAAGGGGCCTTGAAGAATGTTAATGTATTCCTTCTAATCAGGAAGCAGTGCAGGTTAGAATGGGAGGGTCTAAAATTCTCTCTTTCCATAAAACAAACTCACTGATTCGTTGTTTAGATCCTGAAAGTTTAGTGGAAACTGGATTTTTTTCTACGTGCCCTAACTTCAATCGTACTTCAGATATCAAAGTTATTTTAAATAGATTTTTCCCAGTAAGTAGATATTACTCATTTATTGTTAGTTTAATTAAAGCTTGGCTATATCACTAAGGTTTTTCTTTGAATTGAACTGTTTCTGTTCAAGTAAGCCTCACTTTTGACATTTTGACGTGTCTTTAATGAGGCAGGTGTGTTAGTACCAGGGTGTCCTGGTGGCTGAGTGGTTAGCACCTTCACCTCTCAACTACAGGGTTCTGAGTACGAATCCTAGTTGGAGCACAAGCAGAAATGTAAACTTTATTGCAATCACTTGAGTTACTTGGTAATATCAAGTAAAGGATGTACTCGAGGAATTCAAGTGAAGTTAATACGCAATTTATTTCCATGGTTTTTTCAAGTAAACTTTACTTGTCAGAGTTTACAGTGTGAGACCAAGACAAAGCTCTAGTCATGTTTCCCCTGGAGAACGTCTTGCTACTCGTTTCAACTTGAATGAACTTTTTTCATTCTACAGCCATCATAGAATTATCTTAGTCCTAAAACCTCTTCTCCATTTGTTGAAGTCTACGGAAGGTTCACTATTTATTTAATTAGTTGTGAGTAATCGATTAACTTGTCACAGTTCTTCCTCAGCAGTGTTTTTGATCATGGCTTACGAAGCTTATTAGAAAATCTATGTGTTATTTCAGATAATAATTGTATATATTTCCACCACAAAATATGGTAATTAAAAAATATATATATATACAAAAAAATTTAAATGGAACAGTCGAATGTGCTTTGTCTGTTTTTATGGGTTTTGAAATTATCTTGATTTGGTGTTTCATTATTCATAAAATCTTTTGCTCTGTAGAAAATATATGGATAAAGAGATGACTAGAGGGAGCAACAGCCCCATCTGCTGGTCACACTGTTGTAAAGACCAAATCCCAACTGCGTCTCCTTTAAACCCATGAAGACAACCATTTTCCATATCGCTTACAAAACACTTCTCCTCAAGCTTCATCGACCCACGCAGCATTTCTTCAATATTAAATGCAAAACGACCCGTCATAACCTTGCTCTGCTCAACAATAGCCTGGATGTGCACACGCCTCATTAGCCGCCATCATTATTGGCTTTGACGGGACATTTTAAATTGGTCTTTGCTTGAAGCCCGATAATTAGGCTCCCCAAAAGTTTAGCTTATTTGTGCGGATCCGTCCTGGCATCGACAGACCGGTGAAGGACCGGACCAGGAGCTTATGTGGTCCTGAATGGAGAGCAGGGATACTTGCACTGAGTCTGTACTCTAATGTATTTCTTTATGAAGATACTTTGCACAAATTGTCAATCTTCGTAGTGTAGTATATTGATTTTGAACATTTTAATTGTCCATATTGGTTTAACATTCTTTAAAACTATGAAACTAGTAGATGAGTTTTAGCCTGATTTTGGGAGGCGTCGGCGAAGTATCGACACTCGTTGTGTGTGTGGGGGGTCAGTGCGACTATAGAAAGCATGTACGACAACAAACAAATTTATCTGCGATTTCTGCTTTTGACACAAGGAACAGAAATGTCAGAAAAGCATTTGTACACTGCAAACGTTACAGACGATTTGAGTCAACAGCGTGAGACCAGAGTTTTATGAAGGTGTGGTACGCTGCCAATTCAATTCAATTCATTTTTGTATAGCCTTAAATCAGCAACAGTGGTTTTCTCGGAGGACTTATATATTAATCCATAGGTCCATACAGGGCAGATGAACAATGTCTATAAATGTTGATAAATTCAAAACCCTCTGGCTACCGTTCAACTTCAGAGATCAATGCAGTTTATCGTTTCCCATCAACCACAGGTCTGGTACTGCATGTTCACGCTGCGATAGAATCAAAAGTAAAAACCCACTCACACTCACAGGACCAGGCTGAAAGTGGTAAAACATGGCCATACAGTGGGTTGTAAAAGTCATTCATTCATCATCATCCCCTGTTCTTAGTCCATTTCTGGGTTGGGGGATTTGGCAATCAGAGCTGCCACCCATTTCACATGGCTGCCCGTCGACTAAGACACAGGGTCGTGTCATGGGTCACACGGGTCACACAACATGGGTCACACAACATGGGTCACACAACATGGGTCACACAACATGGGTCACACAACGACAGCAGACATCAGTGGGAGCAGATGACATCGTGGGTAAGATCGAACCCACGTCCATAAGATTCA